AAATTTTGATAGAAAGAATGCTTGTAGGTGCTCATGATTAGTATCACATTCCTTGTGCCATATGGCATTTTGTACATAAAGAGAAGAGTGATGTAGCTTAGCTTATGGACTCTCTGATTATAGAGAGTTTTATAAATTGGAAGCTTTGGCATAGTTGTTGTAAACTTGATCTCTATTCAGATATTCAATTTCTGTCCATAATTTGAAATATTTACCTTCTCCTAGGGCCATCCAATGCCAAGAGGTCCTGATTGATTCAAAGTTCCTCACATTCCAATATCCAAGTAGACCAAGTGCATCCAATTCTAAGAAGATTGAACATTTCAGGTATATTTTATTAAACCTCAGCTTCTGTAAAAACTTCCCATCCATCACTAAGTTTATCCTCACCATCACCATATTAGTAAGCACATTTATCTTTTTGTCAATTCAGACTTCAAAGCAAGACCTGAAATCAAATTTGTCAGTTTATATGGTAGTCCCTGGATGTTCCATTTTTTTGCAGGGCAATACATGAGTAATACTTCTAGGTAATTTTTTTTTCTGTTTTCTGAAAATGTTGAATTCATGTTACATAGAAGATGTCAACAATTGACCATACAACAACTTTTATTCCGCTCCCTTTTTCTAGACCAGCTTATGTGAGAATGATCCAATTATCCAAACATGGATCTATTGATTTCACGTACTTAGAGATGAGTACAGGTTAGAACTATTTTAAATTACCAGCACATGAAATCTATTGCATTCTTCATTTGATGGTGTTTTTAGTTATCATACTCTCTCTCATCCTATCTCCATTTTATCAATTTTGCAGAACTTAGCCTGAAACTCAGTGTCACTCTGTAAATTGAAGCAGAAGAAGGAATTATGTCCTACATGACTTTTAAGGTTAGATTCTTGAGAACTCACCATTTTCTCAAAACTTAGCCATCAATTGTCACTCCATAAATATTTGCAACTCATGTCACTTTTCTTTAATATATGTAATTTTTTTTTTATCAGTCATGTCTGTTATTTGGAATCTTTGATTTGAAGTTAATGAAGAATATTAATGGTTTACATTAGTTTTCAGAATTTAGCATTTCATCATTTACATTGCAAAATATGTTCTTATAAGACAATTAATACCATTGAGCATTAGGTCTCCTAATTAACTGCTTCTACTTTCATACTTGGGGGGACTATCTATCATCAATTTTCTGTTCTTAAATATCTCGTTATCTTATATTTTCCACTGTAACTTTTCATGATCAGTACATATAGTACTTTTTTTTCCATTAATATATTTCTTTTTTCATGTGCAGGCATGGAACCTTAAGTGGTAATAGATTATATTCTTTTCATGAGGAAGTCACTTGACAAAGCAAAAATGTATCAAGTATGCCTTCTAGATCATTTAAAAGTCTTATTTAAGCATTAGTGCTTTACATTTGAGCATATATAGTCTTTCCAACTGAGT